GAAGGAAATGAAGTCCTTACCTGGAGGTCTCACAGGTGTGACTGTGGTCTCCCAGGAAGCTGCGCCCCGGGGGCTGGTAAGGCTGGCTGGTTCCCCAAGATGCCTTGTTTGTGTAAACGCAACCTCCGTTTTTCTTCTTGTTCTTTTTGTATCTCATAGATTTTCTTTGCTAATAAGCGATAGTATTCACCCTGAAGAGCAATAACATTAGGCAGTCAAAACTATAAAAAATGATCTGGTTTGTATGTTCTAAAAAATTAATGAACTTTTTTATTAAGTACACTAACAAAGTAAGTGTTCAACACTCCTAACTAAAAAACCAAAGGCCAAAATTCTTGTTGAACTAGTTACATTACAAGATTTAATAGACAGTAGGTACTAAATGCATGTTACTTTTCTTGCCACAGTTGAACCTCTTGGCTATTCAATGGTGCTGGCAATAACATAGTATAAGCATAACAAACAACGCCCACATGGACATGGACATGGCGTCCATGGATAAAATGCAGTTTTGTATACCTCATTTACCTGTAGTGGTGGATACTACAGTAAACACAGAGAGTTGTGCAGGGACCTAATTTTTTTTCTTTTTCTTTTTTCAGAGAGGAAGGGAGAGGGAGAGAGAGAAAGAAACACCAATGATGAGAGAATCACTGATCAGCCTGCCTCCTACAGGCCCCACACTGGGGATCGAGCCTGCAACCCAGGTATGTGCCCTAACAGGGACCTTCTGGTTCATAGGTCGATGCTCAATCACTGAGCCACACCGAGCAGATGGGACCTAATTTCTTATCTGCTAAGTCTCTCTGGTCAGGCTCCTCAAGGTGATGGGCTTACCCAACTGACATATCCCCATTTCCAGACAAGCCAGCCAACCAGGTGCAGTTATATCTACCACAGGTATGTGCAGGCTGGAATAAGTAAGGCAACCTACCCGGCTGTTGGCAGACTCATACACGTCCCCTTCTACTTTCTTAGCGTAGGCCACTAGGTTCTCCATGCGGCGATCCTTCAGGGCTGCAGGGCCAGGTGTTGGGAAGATGGCTTGGACGCTAGGAAGACAACATATTCTATCAACCCACTTTCAATACATCAGTATCTTGCCACTTTATGTGTGACATGGAAAGAGAAGCTTATCTACCTACAGGGGTGATACACTGTTGAGAGAAATCCCAAATCTCTCTTGCCTAGAATATGAGTACACAAATGAAGTCATTCTCTAGAGACAATACTAACCTGTTGATTTATCTACAAGTCGAAAACAATATTTTGCTATTAGCAATAAATGCTAGGTCATCTCAAGAATAATACAATTTTTTAAAAAGTATTTTTTATTGATTTTAGAGAGGAAGG